AGGCGCGGCCGGAGCCAGGGGAGAGGCGGCGCGGCGGAGGCTGTCGTGCGGCCGCCGGGAAGCCGCCTCGGGTCCTGCGGGGCGCTGCAGCCGCGCTCCGGCACTCCCGGCGGAGGGGCGCCGCCTCCCATGCGCGGGGCCGCGCGGGTGCCCGCATCTCGCCCCCGCAGCACCGAGAGCGCCTCGGCGCGGGGCGGCCGGACGGGACCGGACCGGACCGCGAGGTGAGGCCGCGCCAGGTGGGCGGGGGAGAGGGGAGCTCCGCGCCTCGGGGGGGGGCGGCCGCGCCGGGGCCGTGCGGGCGGTGCCCGGGGCTGGGGGGCGGCCTGCGGCGGTAGCCGGGGCTGCGGGGCCCGGTGGGGGCTGCGCTCCTCGGGCTTCACGGAGCCCGGAGAAGTTTCTCTCCGCCCGGACGTGAGAGATCTCTCCCATCTCCGCCGCGGAGCGCCGGGCTCCCGTTGTGCCCCGCTCCGTGCCACGAGCCATTTCGCTGCCGCCGGTTTCCAGGGGCTGCATCCAGGGAAGCGCCCGGAGCGGTGTGCCGCGCTTAGCCCGAGCGAATCCGGCCGGGCTGCTGCGGGAAGGTGCGAGACGAACGTAACATTACTTCTGAAAAACGTGCGTCGCCGCTTTTCTCCCCTCAGGCCAGGTCCTCTGGCACATCTGAGCGGTGCGCTGAACCTGACGTGCTCGGGCCGTCCCGCGGCGCTCCTCGCGCTCTCCTGCTCCTGCCTTCGTCGGCGCTGCCCGGCTCGAGCGGCGCTGAGGTTACGGACGCGGTCTCGGGCTGCGGGACCGCGGGGCTCCCGGCGGCCCTCGTGCGGCTCCGGGAGCGCCGCTTCGCCACTGTGCCCGCACCTGTGCGCTTCGTGGGCCGCCGCGAGCGGACTTCCCCGCGGTCTGCCCGCGCGATTCAGGAAACTTGGCGGCGCCGTGGCCGCAGGTTAACGTTGTGTGGAAACCGCCTCCTTCGGGTCGTTATTTTGCGTTCGGTGTTCGGCCCCTTGCCGCAAGAAGGACATTGAGGCCCTGAACGTATCCAGAGAAGGACAGCGGAGCTGTGGGGGCTCTGGAGCGCAAGTGTTATGGGGAGCGGCTGAGGGAGCTGGGACTGTTCAGTCTGGAGAAGAGAAGGCTCGGGGGAAAGCTCGTTGCTCTCTACGGCTCCTGAAAGGAGGTTGTGGTGAGGTGGGGTCAGCCTCTTCTCCCAGGTAACAGTGATGGGATGAGAGGTGATGGCCTTAAATTACACAAGGTGAGGTTCAGGTGGAATATTAGGAAACATTTCTTCTCAAACGAGCGGTGGTGCAGTGGCACAGGCTGTGCAGGGAGGTGCTCCAGTCACCATCCCTGGAGGTGCTCCAGAACCACGGAGATGTGGCAGAGGAACGTGGTCAGTGGGCACGGTGGGGATGGCTGGCGGTTGGACTAGATGCTATGAGTGGTCTTTGCCACCCTTAATGATTTTGTGGTTCTAATTCTACTGCTCAATGCTGCCCGTTCCTTGCACGGTGAATTATTCTCTACTTGCTATGTCATAGAATCATAAGAGCATCTTTGTGCCATTTTCAGAGCTGCATTATGTTATCTCTCTCCCTTATTGCTCCCTTTTTTTCAAGTAAAGAACTCTTCACATTTCAGTCATTTATCTTATGGGAATTTTCCCACATCCAGTACTGGTGTCAACACCTTCCTGTATATTTTCATTCTGAGATATATATATATATATATATATATATATATATATATATAAATATGATAAATATGATATATTTATCAAGGGTCATCAGAACTAAGTTAGATTCCAGACTTCATCTCAACACAGTTTACACGGCAGCGGAAAGGTTTCCACTAGCAGATATGACAGAATCTAGAAGATTCAATTATGTAAATAGCCAAGAAAGGCAATAGAAATATCTGTAGCTTGCTGTGCTCATCTACTGATGAATCCATGTGATTTATTTATTTTTATATCAGAAACTATATTTAATTAACTAGCTGTTAGGAGCTCAATACTAGAGCATAATGCTATGGTTGAAGTGGGCTCCTAATGGATATGCAGTATTCCATCAAAATGCTGTCTGTGTCTCTGCTGTCTTCCTTTCTTGTTCTGAGACGAGACTGGGGCCTGAAAGTGCCCAGATGTATCTGAGCTTAGTGCTGTTTGTGGGACTGCTGGTGCACTCAGACAGCATGGTCTGTCTAGCTCAGCTTTCCAAGTTGGACTTCTTTCTGGCGTGAGACTAGAAACGATCTATTGGTTGATGCGACTTCCACCCTGTCAGTATTATCGGGGGTTTAAAATGAAACACGATACTGCCAAAATTCATTAGACAGCTGTAATTCCTGGTGGTTTCTTTTCTATTGCCTCTCTCCCAAGGATTCCAATGAGACATTGGATGTCAGTGGACCAGGAAGAGAGTGTCTTATGAGGAGAAAAGTGCTGTAAGATGAGAATGCATAGTAATGCTAAAAGTAGGAGATCAGCTGTTTTGAGTTATCGTGTAGAGGCTTTCAAAGTGTGTGTAGGTAAGAAACACAGGTTATTTGTTATAACTGTGCCCTGAACATGGCTTGTCTGGTTTTAGAAGCAGGGTTGGTTTTGCTTATGGTGGCTCTAATCTGGAATAGTTCCTTTGGAATCAAAGGGGCCAATTCTGGTTCATAGCTCTCAGGAGCACTTGGAATAAGAAGTGTTACACGGTGAGGGATTGTTGTCCTTTCACACTTCATACAACAGGTTCTTTCAGAGCTCCAGCAGATTTAATTGCAGGAAATTAATTAGGTTGTTTGTGCACAGTGATGAGTTTTATGATTGCAGTATAAAAACTTTGCTCTTGCTGGAGAATAAAATGAGTAACTGTGCTGGGCAAACATGCATGAAACTAAGCCTGAAAACTAAACAAAAATGAACTGAATCATCTTGAAGACTGGCCTGTGTGTGTGATTCTGAGTGGACAGTGACTGCAGAAAAGCTTTTCAACGCAGTAGTCTCAGTTCTCTGTGATGTTAAATCTGACATGTGATATTTGGAGCATTGATAGAGACGGTTGTTGAAAACAGAGGTGAAGAAATGTCAGATACTTCTTTTTTTCTGTGCCTTAAAACTTGTTTCACTGTGTGAAGTTAAGAGCAGTCAGCGTAGAGATTCCTATGGGCTGTCAGTTATTATAGAATCACAGAATGGCCTGGGCTGGAAGGGACCTCAAGGATCATGAATCTCCAAGCCCCTGCCACAAGCAGGGCCACCAAGGTCCCCCCATTTAATAGTAGACCAGGCTGCCCAGGTCCCCATCCAACCTGGCCTTGAACACCTCCAGGGATGGGGCATCCACAGCCTCTCTGGACAGCTGTTCCAACACCTCACCACTCTTGTAGTAAAGAACTTCCCTCTGACATCCAACCTGAATCTTCCTTCCCTCAACTTAAAACCATTTACCCTTGTCAAGCTGTTATCTAACTTTTCAAAGAGTTGACTTCCCTCCTGTTTGTAGGCAAAATTGTTCTCCTAGAGAACATTAAGGTTTCATGGTTAAACACTTAAAATTCAGGAAATGAATAAAAAATTTAACTTTGTCCTCTGTTGTGTTGTCTTATCACAGCAGGCTTCAATTTTAGAAGACTGTATTTTTTCATAGAATCATTAAGGTAGGAAAGGACCACTAAGATCATCTAGTCCCATCCCCACCATGCCCAGTCTTCATGTCCCTTGGTACCACATCTGTATGTTTCTTGAGCTCCTCTAGGGTTGGTGACTCCCTGGGCAGCCTGTGCCAGTGCGTCACCGCTCCTAATATCCCACCTGAACCTCCCTTGGTGCAACTGAAGGCCATCACCTCTCGTTCTATTGCTGTAACCTGGGAGCAGAGGCCAACTGCCACCTCACCTCAGCCTCCTTTCAGGAGTTGTAGAGTGATAAGGCCTCCCCTGAGCCTCCTTCAGAACAAGCAATCTCAGCTCTCTCAGCTGCTCCCCATAATGCTTGTGCTCCAGCCCTCTCACAGCTTCCTTGCCCTTCTCTGGACATGCTCCAGGGCCTCAATGTCTTTCATGCAGTGAGGGGCCCTATATATACTGAGCACAGTATTCAAGATGCAGCCTCACCAGAGCTGCATACAGAGGGACGACCACCTCCAGCTGCTGCTGGCTGCACTGTCTCCCATACAAGCCAGGATGCCATTGGCCCTCTTGGCCACCTGGGCACACTGCTGGCTTGTGTTCAGCCGGCTGTCAGCTAGCACTGTCACTGTAGACAGGCAAAGCATTTTGTACCTCTTAGTTGCGAGATATGTCCCGTGGTCATGGGACCTAACTGGAGAACATGCTGTGAGGAGCCTTGTTCTCTGAACTAGCCACATGTACAGCTCGGTTATTAGTTCATTTGTTTTCAGAAAGCAGCTTAGCCTGATGTTAATACAGTGCAGAGAAGGAATCAGGTAACTACAAGGCTAATTCGGTTATGAGTTTAAGTGGTTTCAATGTGATCAGTGGACATAATTGTGCATTGCTGATCTATATTATCTTAGAGTTGTTTATTGTGTATCAGCATGTAAATAACTTCAGTTGCATTCAGGATAGTATGTTACACTGGAAAATTCTGTTTATGTACATCAGATGTTTAGGGAGAATGCATGTACTTAATTTATAAGATTAATTAGGGAGATGTTAGGCAGATACAAGTGAAAAGGAATGCTTGGGAGAGTGATCTGATGGGCACTGACTGTAGTCTCATCTCTTGCCCTGTATAGAGAGACCATTGCAGACACTGTGTGCTTCAGAGTTGGTTCATTTTTGTTGTTGTGTTCTTTGTTCCAGTTGGCAATAGCAGATACAAATTCTGTGATTTGAAACAACTCAATTAGCTCCTTATGGAATGTTCTGTCCCACCCAGTTTTCTCTTGGGGACTTGTGAGTGTCGTGTCACATAATCTCATTTGTGCAGCTTCTCCCACAGTGTTCAGGCATTCCCAGAGATGGGTCAGTGCATGTAACTTTGGTTACTGTTAAACAAGCAGAGCTGTCAGCACCATCTACGGACATCCGTTGCATGCTTCTAAGTGGTAGTACCAAGTGTTCACTTTGGGGCTTCTTGGCAAGAACTAGAAAAATTCCACTGTTGATAGGATCTGAATATAGTCCTTGTGAAAGAGGAATATCTCTATCTCTGACCAGGTGCTGTGTGTGAATTGCTGGAATGCGGGTCTCTCTTTTCAGCAGTACCACT